TGAGGTTCTCTGATAGGAAATTACATCACAAAGCTACCTGAAAAAGAAGACACTGTGTGCAGTCTGATAAACAGGCTGGTCATGTCACAAACAAGATAATAGTCTAATAAGTAGAAATGCGTGTATATACCAGAGTTATAATTAGAACAGCAATTGCAGCGCTAGGAGTACTTTTATCTTGTTATTGGCTTGGATTTGTGTTAATATTAGACTGTGGTAAGGACCTCATGCACTTCCTTAAGACAAATACTTTGAAGACCTTAAATTATGTATTAAAGGCAATACTGTACAGTTAGCAACTATTTTTAACTTTCAAATGCTCACTCTACTTCAGCTTGAATTGTTCTAACATTTTTGGCAAGTCCAATAGCGGCCACTGCAGTTTCCCCACAGAAAATAAAGTCAGATACACTTACCAATCACTATGTTAGCTACACCAGTTCAACTGCTGGTCAATCCAAATATCTAATCAGCCTTTGACATGGCTGCATCTTAGTGCATTTTAGGGAAAGAGACATGCCTCCCAAAGTTCAAACCAAGCACCAGAATGTGGAAGAAAGGGGATTTAAATGACTTTGAACATGGTTGTTGGTGCCGGACAGGATGGTCTAACTATTTCGGAAACTGCTGATCTACTGGGATTGTAACAAAACCCTACTGTGGTATAGGGAAAATATGTGGTATAGGGAAAAGGAGAAAATCACTGCATAGATCCATCCTGCTTGTATAAACGGTTCAGACTGGTGCTAGTAGTATAATGGTATATGGGAACTTTGGCACACTTTAGGACCTTTAGCATCGGTTGTGCAGCTTTTAAACACCAAAGAATACCTGAGTGTAGCTGCTAACGATTCCCTTATGACCTCAGTGTACCCATCTTCTGATGACTGGTTTCAGTAATGTAATGTAATCAAGCATCTTTGCGATGTGGTTGGGGGCAAGTTCAAACTACAGCACTTCTGTTCCGTTAGGCTATTATACAATACCACATTTTAAGTAGTGATGGGCAAATGAAGCTTTCTGAAGCATTGAAGCTTGTATTGAAAAGGGGTTAATTATTAAACGGTTTTCAACAGTCCTCTTTGGTGGCATCTGGTGGCCAAAAACATGAAGAGCATCTTAATTCTACAAATTAAACTGCTTCATTATGAATTCCCACTCAAGAGCTCAGTTGACAGCTTCTGTTTAATACCATGTGACAGT